CCTGACACTGTGTAGATTAGCTTGTGGTGGGTTCAGACCTTACACAGTGGAGATCAGCTTGTGGTGGGTTCAGACCTTACACAGTGGAGATTAGCTTGTGGTGGGTTTAGACCTTACATGCTGAAGATTAGCTTACGAGTTCAGACTTAAACTGTATTAGTGATGATGGGTTCAGACCTTACACTTTGTAGATAAGTTTCTGGTGTGTTCAGACTTGCTCATTAACTGATTATGTGTTCAGACTTGCTCATTATTAGCTGATGGTGGGTTCAGACCTTGCACTGTGTAGATCAGCTTGTGGTGTGTCTGTCTGGATTAAGTTCCTTGAATGTTTTGACCCCAACTGACAATGATCATTTGTCTGCACTGTAATGTTATCTGAGGGTGTTCCTGCTGATGAATCATGGAACTTCAGTTGTGGTGACTGTCATCAAAGTTCCTTCCTGGAACAGGTTCCCACCAAAGCATGGTTGAATGTCAAAAACAATCATAGCGCTACATGATTGTAACATCAAAACTTAACATGGGTTTATGATCATTGCAGCGCTTTGACTAACTGACTGAGTTTGGTTTTACGCTGCTTTTAGCAATATTCCAGCAATATCACGGCAGGGGACACCAGAAATGGGCTTTCCTCATTGTACCCATGTGGGGATTCGAACCCCAACTTGGTTGGCTATCATTGCCCAGTTCATGTCAGTCACTATAGTCCGTTTGGCTCAAAAGCGGACCGATGAATTGCAATCTAACTCGAAAACTAATAAACATAAAATACTGAATGAAACGCTGATCATAATCAAAACATCATACCAACTCTGTGAGTTTTTTGCAGAATTTTTTTCCTAAAAATAAAAAAGTTGTTTAACAATCTATCATCAAAATATTGACACAGTTCACTATTTGTTACGAGGGAGGAGTGCAGAGAAAGGGACAGCCAGGTGTTCAAGAACGGATGGAGACGGCACAGCACAGGTTAATGAATAAATAACTTTGTCTGTGAACGTGCTTCTCGAGCCAAACGGACTGTAGACTGTCTGGTCCTGATTCGATTTTTCTTATTCACATACCACCATCACACAGCTATAATACTGCTGTGAACAGCAATAAACAACAAACAACCAACAAACAACCAACAAACAACCAACAAACAACCATCCCTTTCAGAACATTTAGTGTTTAATAGACAAACACCAATGCATAGTACAGTCAAATCCCGATGAGTCGAATGCCGGTGTCTCGAATATTATGCATAACTCGAAGTACCTGTCGGTCCCGACCATTCCCTGTTATAGTTGTCATCATTTGATTTCCGGTTACACGAATTCGACTCATAAATACACACGATGACTCGAGAAGGAAATTTGGTCCCATGAGATTCAAACAACAGCAATCTTGTATACATAAGCCGAAGTCAGTCAATGAGAAGTTGATTGGTGTAGCAAACTGATCCAATTAACAAACCAGCGCGGCTCACACCTTTCCGCCATTGACGGGTGAGTTCAAAAGGCAGATTAGTGATTTTATGGAAATCACTGTCTGTGCTAATCAGACTTGAACTGATAAGTTGCCCCTATTAGTGATATGGAAATCATTAGACAAACAAATGCTTAGGCGGAGGAATTAGGACTGGATCATCTTTTTTCTACCCTCATAGACATACCTATGTCTCGAATACATCGATAAGTTGAATTTATTACTTGGTCCCCAGCGATTCGACTCATCGGGATTTGACTGTATCTGAAACTGGAACCAACACTGAACCGAAACAATTCACTCTTTAGCTCACAACTTCTTCTTTCAGATGACTTCATCAAGCCATTCAGGTACCTTTACTCCACAGACTTTATGAAAGAGTAGTTATTTTGACTGCCAGACGGTCAAATAGTTGACATGAGAATTACATATTTTATACACTCTCCTAAAAACTATTTTAAAATACGGATATTAGGGTTGGGTATTGCAGAGAATTTTCATATTGCGATATATTGCGATTCGAAAGCATATATTGCGATACGTATTGCAATATATTACAAGAATATATTTTTCACCAAAACTTACTTATAATCAAGTTAATGCTTGATTTATGAAGCAAAATTACAACAAAATCACTATGTTTGATTAAGCTTTAATAACAACTTTTAATCATGATAAAATGAAGGAAACAAGGAAAACATCAACACAGTGGTTACTAGTTTGAACTAGTGTCTCCACTATCAAAAAAGCCCCGAAATATTAGACAGCAACTTGACCTGGTCAGGACATATCAGGGATCACTGGTCATTAATGAGTAAATATATATATAACATTCAGATCAAAAACTTTGCGAAACACTTGAACAAAAATTAAGAACACAACTTCAAATCGAACTTAACTTGATTTTCGGTGTGAAAAACGGAAATATCCTAAGATTTTCGAGTGTCACGCAGTTTTCCGAATGCATGTCGAAAAACCGGTTTTCGATCCAGGTATCGCAATACGAATCGATTTCATGTCTGAACCGGTAAACCGTTTATATTGTGCAGCGCTAACAGATATACACAAAGGTTTTGAGTGAAGATAATGTAGGGATATGGAATTGAAAGGACTAGGTGTAACATGATAATGAACACAATATGTAGACATTGTACTGAGTATTACAAACAACCCAGAGTGAGTGAATTCAGTTTTATGACGTTTTTAAAGCAATAATTCACCAATATCACAGGGACACCAGAAATGGGCTTCACACATTGTACCTATGAGGAGAATCGTACCCGGGTCTTTTGCATGATAATCAAACGCTTGAACCACTGGGCTACCCCACTGCCCGAAAAAAACAACCCAGAGAGATGAGGGGGATGTCAAATTACTCAACTTACCTTTGAGTGCGCGAGTTGCTCCTTTGATTCCTATTCCAGTACTATCATGGCTTGCCAGCTTAATGGCCCAGGTTCGATTCCCCACATGGCTACAATGTGTGAAGCCCATTTCTGGAGTCCCAAGCTGTGATATTGCTGGAATATTGCTAAAAGCAACGTAAAAACATACTCACTCACTCACTCTGACACCTCACACAACAGAGCATGCGTTTTCTTAAATAGTAAAGATAGCAATAGGGTAAAAAGGAAAAGATATTTTAGAATTTGACCATGATAATGCCAGTGTATTAATATATTACGGTCACTGCATGTCCACTTTCTTCATAGAAGGTCAGTCGCACACAGATGTCTGATAACACTACATCATGATGAAAGCACAGTGGTACACACTAAGGTTAAGATACACATAAACACAACTCAGTCATTTCTCATTGGCTAATTTCATCTTGATCACATGACACATTTGAATTAATGACATGCCTGAGAATGCATTTATAAATACACCAATATACAATATATGTATGAATACTTGGAAAATATATCAATATATATACTCTAGTCGGTATAATTTACACCATTCCATGAGACTATCTGTTATTCTCATGTTAGAATGTGATATAAAATTTAGTAGAAAGGTAATAATGAAATTTTTTTTAAATCATATTTTGTACCGAGATACAATACACATGTACTTTATTGATGTACCATTACGTTTCAGCAAGCATCAGATCTGAGACATGCATATATAGTACATCTGGTCTTGGAATCAGAATAAATATATGTCCAGAATGAATTGGCAAGTAAAGATTGCCTGAGTTCAAGACCGATATTCAGGACTATTCTTGGCTCCATAAACATTTTATTGTGCATTTTGTATTTTGAGGGAACAATTATAAATTGATTATCATCAAGAGAAGTAGAATTTTTTCGGACATTTCCTTGAGACTTGCATAACATCCAGCTCCTCTGTCTGTTTGTTTGTTTGTTTGTTTGTTTGTTTAATGCCACACTCAGCAATATTCCAGCTATATGTCGGCGGTCAGTAAATAATTGAGTCTGGACCAGACAATCCAGTGATCAACAGCATGAGCAACAATCTACACAACTGGACAAGGAGAGAGTGAGTTTAGTTTTACACCACACTCAGCAATATTCCAGCTATATGATGGCGGTCCGTAAATAATTGAGCCTGGACCAGACAATCCAGTGATTGTATCATGATACTTTTGCAATAATACAATAATGCTATAACGCTATAACGAGTTGTTCAGCCTTCCCATATTGACAACACTATTCAGGATTTGACCTGGCCCTACAATGCTGGGGTCTTTACAGGAAATATGAGGGCCCTGTAAACTGTTGAATTTGTACTGTATTGCAGGATGTAATAATAATGATTGGAACAGGATCTTCAGATTTCTTGTTGAGAATTTGGTACTTTGATTATTGTAGTGTCCTGACGGACACCATAAATCAGGGGTGGAAATAACTTTAAAATTGCTAGTGTACTCCGGAACTATGGCACATGTAAAATCACTTGCCCTGATAATTTTTCCACTATACCAGCCGTTTTCTTGTTGATTTTTTAAAATAAACAACATAAATATCATTGGAAAGTCAACTGAACACCGGTACAGTGTAATATGCAAATTTGCTTGCCCGACAGAAAAAAACACTGGACTCGGACGTCGGGCAATGGGTTATTTCCACCCCTGTAAATATTAGTTTTCTCTTCTATACATTTGTGTGTACTGCGCGGCGGACGCCTTTCTGTGTGATGTAATTCCTGACTAATGCAGTCATACTATAAAAGCATGAGAAACCAGCCTTGCGATGAAGTCAATACTGAAATATTTTCAACATAAATACACACAACCATCACCATGTAACTAAGTTCCACACAGTGTCTCTAAATATACAAGAATCCTTGTCCTATACAAGGACACTGTTACAATACATACATAACAGGGAGTGAATGGGGTTTTACGTCGCCTTCAGCAATGTTCCAGCAATATCACGGCGGGGGACACCAGATATGGGCTTCACACATTGTACCCATGGGAATCGAACCAGGGTCTTCGGTGTGATGAGCAAACACTTTAACCACTAGGCTACCCCACCGCCCCTACATACAGAACCTAAGATAGTCAAACTCAACGTCCTGAACATAACATGGTGCCATGCATGTTAAGTCTGGCAATTAGATAATAGGTGTCAAAAGAACAGCATTTTGAAATAATTTACGAGTATTGAAATCAGTCTGAGTAGAATTGCCACAAAAATTGCCATAAATAGATGTAACCATAAAGTTACCATTTTGGCCGTATTGATAATTACATTGAAACCTTTTGAGCAAATTGTGCGTAATCTGTGCTGGGAACAAGCATGTGAAGTTTAGTTCTTCAGTGGCTCACTGGTTCCGAGGGGATGATGTTAGCAGTGTCAAGAGTTTCATCTTGACATAACTTACAGGGATGATCAAGTTGAAACTAAACATAAATATATGAAATGCCTTGAACCTCATGTCTTACAAAGATCTGGATAAAAATCCACATATTGTGCCCTCCTTATGGCCAACATTCTACATTCCCCCACAAAATGATTAACAGCACCAACTATCTGTCAGCTTGTCACAAGCACCTGTCAAGCTCCAACAGATCTTCAATCACAGCACAAGAGAAAGCACATCTCATTATGAAAAATATGTTCAAACTTTGTTCATTTGTGAGACAACAGTCTTGATGCCTTCCCGAGCTGACCCGAGTCCATCTTTCCATTTCTGTTGGATTGTCTTCCCCTGGGTTGCTGCTGCAGCTCCCAGCAGGGCTCCCAGAGCAGCTCCTCTGTGACAGTTCTCACCTGAAACAAAAACAACCCTTACCTGAAACATACAGTGAATACATAAAGTCCACACGCAGTGCTCATCTGAAACTAACATAGATTTCATCTAAAACATACAGTTCTCACCTGAAACATACACTTTTTTCACCTGAAACATTCACACTTTTCACCTGAAACATTACCACTTTTCACCTGAAACATTCCCACTTTTCACCTGAAACATTCACACTTCTCACCTGAAACATTCAGACTTTTCACCTGAAACATACACACTTCTCACCTGAAACATCCACACCTCTCATCTGAAACATTCACACTTCTCATCTGAAACATTCAGACTTTTCAACTGAAACATTCACTATTTTCATGAGGAACATACACACTTCTCATCTGAAAACTTCTCACCTGAAACATGCACACTTCTCACCAAAACCATCAACAATTCTCACCTGAAACATGCACACTTCTCACCTGAAACATTCACTATTTTCACCTGAAACATACACACTTCTCACCTGAAACATTCACACTTCTCACCTGAAACATTCACTATTTTCACCTGAAACATACACACTTCTCACCTGAAACATTCACTATTTTCACCTGAAACATACACACTTCTCACCTGAAACATACACACTTCTCACCTGAAACATTCACTATTTTCACCTGAAACATACACACTTCTCACCTGAAACATTCACTATTTTCACCTGAAACATACACACTTCTCACCTGAAACATTCACTATTTTCACCTGAAACATACACTTCTCACCTGAAACATTCCACTTCTTTCACCTGAAACGCATCACACTTTCACCTGAACATTCACATTTTCACCTGAAACACTTCTCACCTGAAACATTCACTATTTTCACCTGAAACATACACACTTCTCACCTGAAACATTCCCACTTCTCACCTGAAACATCCACTCTTCTCACCTGACACATACACACTTCTCACCTCAATGTGTGAAGCCAATTTCTGGTGTCCCCTGAAACATATTGCTGGAATATTGCTAAAAGCCGCTGTCATTGTCAAACCTGGAACTCATACACTCACTTTTCACCTGAAACATACACTTCTCACCTGAAACAATCACACTACTCACCCGAAACATTCACACTTTCCACATGAAACATTCCAACTTCTCTCCTGAAACATACACTCTTCTCATCTGAAAACTTCTCACCTGAAACATGCACACTTCTCATCTGAAACATGCACAGTACAAATGTCATTAACATGTATTCAGTTTTACATTCAACTATACCCATAGCGTCTCTACAAGGACCAAATACTCCCACGTTGGATGCTATGTTACCAATTGTTAGTTTGGCCACCTACCTCCAACATTAGCGTTAGCTAGAACTCCGCCCTCGAAGTCATCACTGAACTCCACAGCCAGGTAGAGGAGAGAACTGATAGCGCCCTCTATGTAGCAGGCCAGTCCCAGGTTGCCCACGGCAGACTGGTATGCACGGAGACGCTCCTCGGACCCTTCGGGAGATCTGAACAATATAACAGCTGTAGATTAGCAAAGGGCACTGACACAGGTGAAACTATTTTAGCAATTCTTACTTTGCATTTGAATTTGACAGATCCAGCTGTAATGTTTGTTTGTTGTTGACCAATACTTGAGCAATACTTGAGCAATATTTAAGCAATACTTGAGCAAGATTTGAGCAATACTTGAGCAATATTTGAGCAATATTCGAGCAATACTTGAGCAAGATTTGAGTTATATGACAGGGAACCTTCTAGAACAGACAATTCAGAAGTCAGCGAGTCTGACCACTAGTGGTGTAACAATTCATTGATAGTATCGATGTTCGCATCGTCACCTACCACTAGTGTTACAATTCATCGATAGTATTGATGTTCGCATCGTCAACTACCACTAGTGGTGTAACAATTCATTGATAGTATCGATGTTTGCGTCGTCAACTACCACTAGTGGTGGAACAATTCATCGATAGTATCGATGTTTGCATCGTCAACTACCACTAGTGGTGGATCAATTCATCGATAGTATCGATGTTCGCATCGTCAACTACCACTAGTGGTGTAACAATTCATCGATAGTATCGATGTTCGCATCGTCAACTACCACTAGTGGTGTAACAATTCATCGATAGTATCGATGTTCGCATCGTCAACCACCACTAGAGGTGTAACAATTCATCGATAGTATCGATGTTCGCATCGTCAACCACCACTAGTGGTGTAACAATTCATCGATAGTATCGATGTTCGCATCGTCAACCACCACTAGAGGTGTAACAATTCATGGATAGTATCGACATTCGCATCGTCAACTACCACTAGTGGTGTAACAATTCATTGATAGTATCAACTACCACACTAGTGGTGTGTAACAATTCATCGATAGTATTGATGTTCAGCATCGCCAACTACCACTAGTTGGTGTAACAATTCATCGATAGTATCAATGTTCGCGATCGCCACCTACCACTAGTGGTGTAACAATTCATCGATAGTATCGATGTTCGCATCGTCAACTACCACTAGTGGTGTAACAATTCATCGATAGTATCGATGTTCGCATCGTCAACTACCACTAGTGGTGTAACAATTCATTTATAGTATCGATGTTCACATCGTCAACTACCACTAGTGGTGTAACAATTCATCGATAGTATCGATGTTCGCATCGTCAACTACCACTAGTGGTGTAACAATTCATCGATAGTATCGATGTTCGCATCGTCAACTACCACTAGTGGTGTAACAGTTCATCGATAGTATCAATGTTCGCATCGTCAACTACCACTAGAGGTGTAACAGTTCATCGATAGTATCGATGTTCGCGATCGTCAACTACCACTAGTGTAACAGTTCATCGTAACGATGTTCATCGACTAGTGGTGTAACAATTCATCGATAGTATCGATGTTCAAAATCGTCAACTACCACTCGAGTGGTGTAACAGTTCATCGATAGTATCAATGTTCAGATCGTCAACACCAATGGTAGTGGTGTAACAATTCATCGATAGTATCGATGTTCGCAGCATCGCCAACTACCACTACCACTAGTGGTGTAACAATTCATCGATAGTATCGATGTTCACATCATCAACTACCACTAGTGGTGTAACAATTCATCGATAGTAACAATTCATCGATGTTCGATTTCGCGCTCATCGCCAACTACCACTAGTGGTGTAACAATTCATCGATAGTATCGATGTTCACCAGATCGTTAAACTACCACTAGTGGTGTAACAATTCATCGATAGTATCGATGTTCGCGATCGTCAACTACCACTAGTGGTGTAACAATTCATCAATAGTACTCAGTGGTGTTCATCAATCATCATGTTCGCGATCGTCACCTACCACTAGTGGTGTAACACTTCATCAATGCACAAATCTGAAGTGCAACAATGCAAAACACATTTAGGCAATATATCAGGATATTTATATCACGATCATCCATGATACATCGATGTATCGCCACAAGAGACGATATATCCCGGTACTACTTACGCAATGTACTAAGAAACAGATCAAATGTAAGTGCATTATAGTGGAAGGGACAAAGGAGTATATGTGAAAGAGTGTGAACATTTTTCAAACTCTGTGAGCTGTAGAATACTTGTCTTCAAGTAATTGAAATATGTTTTAGTTGTTTGACAAATAACACCATTTATTAACTACTATGAAGGATATCTTAGCTTTATTAAGAAAGAGAACAAAGATATGATAAAATTTAGAGAGCAGAATTCAGAGGGTTTTTTCAGTGATTCTGAATTCCAATATAAATTACATTGAATTGTTTGTGAAAGCATTGGTGTAGAAACACAACTTCCCAAGGAAAACTTCAGTTTCAAATTTATTTATATCAGATCAAGGTATACTGAATATGTTTGACTACTTTCTTAAGCATTAAATGCTGAAATTGTATTAGATCAACAGTGTGTGTGAATATAACACAAGTTCTGCTGTATAGCAAATAAAGTTTCAGTCATTTATCTATCATGTCTGATCTGTTTTTAGAAACTGTAAGTATCAGGCTATATATCGTATCGCCACCATTGTATCGTGATGATAATCATCTCGTAGGTTCCTTGTTCCTTGATATATGGTCTCGCCTCATTAAACTAGTATCGGGATATATATCGTATCGCCACCATTGTATCGTGATGATAATCATCTCGTAGGTTCCTTGTTCCTTGATATATGGTCTCGCCTCATTAAACTAGTATCAGGATATATATCGTATCGCCACCATTGTATCGTGATGATAATCATCTCGCAGGTTCCTTGTTCCTTGATATATCGTCTCGCCTCATTAAACTAGTATCGGGATATATATTGTATCGCCACCATTGTATCGTGATGACAATCATCTCGTAGGTTCCTTGTTCCTTGATATATCATCTCGCCTCATTAAACTAGTATCGGGATATATATCGTATCGCCACCATTGTATCGTGATGACAATCATCTCGTAGGTTCCTTGTTCCTTGATATATCATCTCGCCTCATTAAACTAGTATCGGGATATATATCGTATCGCCACCATTGTATCGTGATGATAATCATCTCGTAGGTTCCTTGTTCCTTAATATATCATCTCGCCTCATTAAACTAGTATCGGGATATATATCGTATCGCCACCATTGTATCGTGATGATAATCATCTCGCAGGTTCCTTGTTCCTTGATATATCGTCTCGCCTCATTAAACTAGTATCGGGATATATCGTCTCACCACTTAAGCCATGATACACAGCTCTACTGACCACCCGATCTTGTTAGTCACATCAAACTACAAACATGGGGGGGCGGTGGGGTAGCCTAATGGTTAAAGCATTGGCTCGTCACGCCGAAGACCCTGGTTCGAATCCCCACATCGGTACAATGTGTGAAGCCCATTTCTGGTGTCCCCTGCCGTGATGTTGCTGGCATATTGCTTAAAGCAGCGTAAAACCAAACTCAGTCAGTCAGACAAACATGGGTAGCTAAGACCAATTCTTACCTAGATCACAGGGATCACCAAATCTGATGCATTAATCTAATACAGTTGCAATAGCATACAGTTTGGGGCTTGTCTGTCCTGGGCCTCATGTAGACCAAATCTTTAAAATGTGGACCATCATTATCAAGGTTTCCAGTATTGAAAAATGAATGTGCAAGTTACATAATTCTGGGCTGACCACTCGACCCAGTTAGTTGCCTCATGAGTTGTCTCATGGCTTGGTGAAGGCCAAATTCTTACATGAAATCTTCACAGAAGCGGACTAAAGTAGCATCTAAGAACATGGAGAATTGGAGTGAGTGAGTGGGTTTAGTTTTATGCCGCTTTTAGCAATATCACGGCAGGGGACAGCTGGAATGTCTTCACATATAGTACCCATGTGGGAAATTGAAACAGGGACTTCAGCGTGATAAGTGAATGCTTTAACCTCTAGGCTAACACCCTACCCCACCCCACCCCACCCTACCCCCAGGGGGAAATGGGAGTAAACACAACTTACCCATGAGCCCGTTCCAGCATCCTCAGGACCATATCCCTCTTGGATGGCCCACCCAGCTCCGAGTGGCTAAGCAGCTTCACCACCTCAGCCTTCAGATCATGTCCATTGAGCACTGCATGCAGCAGACGGGCATACATGTCTACGTAGGGCACCAGGGCAGTCTCGGGGTGGGTGAGCTTGATGAAGTCTACCGCAGACTTGGCACACTCCGTCTCTGTCCTGTGGGCGCTCCTCAGCACCCAGGGAATTGTAGGAACCAACGCACCAACCACCACCAGCTGATGGTCTGATGATCCCTTTGTCTTCTGTTTGTATCTGAGATGCAGGAACAACATGTTATACTAAATAAATCAGCCTTTAATGAGGGATTTACCTTGAGTCCTGTATTTGAGGGTCCTTGGGAATCATATTCGTAATTTTCAGGGGTCCTGGACAACAAAATAAGGGTCCCAGACACTTAAATATTATCATTAATACTGTGATTGTATTGTGTATCATGATCATCACATTGTTACAGTAATTAAATTGCAAATAATCCCATAACCCAGCTAGTAGCAAACTCAGTGATAACTTATTGTTGCTTGATTGGAATATTTACAAAAAGTATTTGGACTTTTTCTGAGTCCCTAATAAATTTTGTTACGTCCATTGTAAATTTTTATGAGTTTAAGATGCAGGAATTCATGTCCTGTAAATTGCTGCTTTAATACAGATAGGGTGTTAATTACACTTGATAACAAGCATTCAACACAAAAACCTCTTTTCCAAGGTAATGTTAATGATGGTAAAAACAGCATTTGTAGTTATCCATGTCATGGTATCTTTGTTGGATTCAATTTAACAGTACACTATGAGCTGCATCATTAAACAGTATAATACTTACATGATAATGTTATTCCTTAATGCTACCCTTTGTACTGATGCAAAATACACTTTGCTTGAAGGGAGATATTTGAAAAACTTATAAAAAGCATTTGTGAACACACACCTTATTGGATAACAATCACATATACCCCCCTTAAACCCTCAACAATTTTCCTTGCTAAATCTGAGACACTTCAGTGTTTCCGCTGGGTATTTCTTTTACCGGCCACAGTGTCCGGCGATCATTTCATTTTCCGGTCCTGTACGCAATCTGGCGGTCACAATTTATATAAATCGTAATCTAAACTTCTCGTTGACATTTGATATACATGGTCCATGTAGTACAGACTTGTATAGTTCTCAGACAACCATCGACACCTGCAGGACCGAATCCTCCAAAACTTGCAGCATTTGAATTTATCGGTCCTGGGCCATTTTACCAGCAAAAAGCCAGCATATGCGGAGAACAGAATGTAGTTTCACTGCACTTTGTCCTATTGTTGTAACTCGAATAATAACAGGACAAACTATATTTAGATAGAAGTTATTCTTGAACGACTTCTCGTTGACATTTGATATACATGGCATGACTTGTATTATGCATTTTATGATTTTATGTTTACCGGACACGAGGACCGCAGCATTTGAATTTATCGGTCCTGGGCCATTTTTACCAGCAAAAAGCCGGCATATGCCGGAGAACGGAAACACTGCACTTTGTCCTATTGTTGAATAATAAGGACACTATCAAATTGCAATAGTTGTATCTTTAGTAACTTTTAGAATGAAACACTTTTGTACCTTTGTTCTGCATATTCAATGAGATCGTCAGCTGTCTGAGGTGGAGTTGGCATTGAGGACCAGTCCTTGAAGAAAGATCTGTGGAAGGACTCAGCATACGTGTCTCCATGAGACCCAGGTGTGGTCATGAACTTGACGTACGCCTCTAACACCTCACTGCGTACGTCTCGGTCATCCCTCACGATATCGTGATCAACCTTCTCAAACGTCTTCATCATCTCAAGAGCCATCAGGGCGTTCAATGTGCTGTCTCCAGCCTTCATACCTACAAGGAGTTAGTATATACAGTAAATTAATGCTGTAATGAAATAAGAGGGACCAATAATTCTTCTTGGTTAAAACCGTAGTGTGTTATAGGCATTTCCACTACAATATGCAGCAAATGGCTGGTACAGAAAGACAGTTTGTTTGATATATAGAGATTACTAAACGAGTGTCTGTCAGATATCATTTATCTTACAACGAGTTGTTTCAAAACGTATTTAACGAGCGAAAGCAAGTTAAATACGTTTTGAAACAACAAGTCAGTTATATCTGACAGACATGAGTACAGTAATCTGTTTCTTACACACCATAAAATCGCACCATTTTATGGTCGAATAGATTCAAATTTCATATTTTCGCATCGTAGCTGTGCAATAATACACAACACAACGTTTATGAATGAGTGACGTCACTTGGCTTCCTAATCACTACTCACAGCCAAGGTGACCCTCCACAAAAAAAAAGTTTCTGCCACATCTTCACGTCATCAAGGCAGTTTGTTTGATATAAGCATGTTTGTTATACACATAGTTTACTGTATGTACAAATGTCAATGTACTCACAACAAGTTGTTTCTGGGTGGTGCTGAATGTTTGTTACATCTCCGAACTTCATAATATACGTGATGTTGTCATCCAAGCATTTGAAACAATAGTCTTACGATAGAACTCGCACACCTGATTTCTCGCTAACATGTGCTCACGAGACGCACAGACAGAGTGAAGCAGGGGAGATAATCACAGAAAAAAGTCAACGCTAGCCACTAGCCAAAATACTAATAAAATCTAAATTTCGGTTACAAGAAATGTATATGTTTAGTGATGGGTGTCTGTTTTGGGATGTGTCCATATCTACAATTAAAGAGTTAGCATATATTGTCGAACCCCGTTTATCCGGACATTTTGGTTACACTCGGAAATCGTCTAGATAGCGAGGTGTCCAGTTAACTGGCTACCGGGCAACATAGTCAGAGCTAACAAGAATTAAACCCACAAACCAGGTTGGAACTGGTCTTCAGCAACATAGTCAGAGCTAACAAGGATTAAACCCACAAACCAGGTTGGAACTGGTCTTCAGCAACATAGTCAGAGCTAACAAGGATTAAACCCACAAACCAGGTTGGAACTGGTCTTCAGCAACATAGTCAGAGCTAACAAGGATTAAACCCACAAACCAGGTTGGAACTGGTCTTCAGCAACATAGTCAGAGCTAACAAGGATTAAACCCACAAACCAGGTCAGAACTGGTCTTCAGCAACATAGTCAGAGCTAACAAGGATTAAACCCACAAACCAGGTTAGAACTGGTCTTCAGCAACATAGTCAGAGCTAACAAGGATTAAACCCACAAACCAGGTTGGAACTGGTCTTCGGCAACTCATGCTTGTCGTAAGAGGCGACTAACGGGATCGGGTGGTCAGGCTCGCTGGCTTGGCAGACACGTCATCATATCCCAATTGCGTAGATCGATGCTCATGCTGTTGATCACTGGATTGTCTGATCCAGGTTCGATTATTTACATACCACCACCATATAGCTGGAATATTGCTGAGTGTGGTGTACAACAAACAAACAAAAACAACCAAAATCAAGACCACAGTCCTAATCCAGAATTTCTGGTCTGATCAAGGAATACAACACAGCGAACTGCAGCACCTTAAACAAATGGGCCTGAGTTGGAAGGAAAGGGTATATGTCTCACCTTGGTGATAGTGTGTAGAGTGGTTGTTGCCCGACCAGTACTTTAGCTTGTCGTGGAGGATGACATCACCTATCACAGCCCTGGCCTTGTCACCCCCTCGACCACTGCCCCCTGGTGGAGACAAGGCATACATGTCGTTAATATACTGAGAATGTATCAGAGCTGTGACCACTGAAACAAAAACTTAAGCAAAATGTCGTTCCATGTTTATAGCTCGAACTAGTACCGGGTACATGTTCCTTGGCATGTATTTCAGATAAAGGATCATCATTTTCATGGGTAACAAATGCTATATTTGTGACAACACTTTCTTAGTGTAGCGACCATTAAAGTTCCGAGTCTCATGTTTGAACCACAAACTTTCTAACCCAGAGTTGGACGCCTCATTCACATGAACAAAGAGTGAATTTGAGTGAGTTTAGTTTTAGAAATATTCTAGCAATATCACAGCAGAGGACACCAGAAATGAGCTTCATACATCGTACCCATGTGGGGAATCGAACCCGGGTGAACACTCTAACCACTATGCTACCCCACCGCACCCTGTGACCAAAGAGGTTAACCCCATCAAGGTAAGGATGTCTTCTGTGGAATGACTCCACTCCCTGCTATATTAGTATTTACATACAAATTATAGTATTTTGGGGTTTGAATCCCATCCAGGATTTGAACCAAAACTCTCAGAAAAAGTTGAAGATAAATCTTTTGCAACTGTCTTTGTCGCTGACGAAACTTTTCCCATGTCGAACTTGAAGCCCCATATATTTGCAACACAGCTTCATGGTGTCCAATAGTTTATTACAGAGACCAGTCATTGGCCTCATAAAAACATTGTAAGGATTTAAACATCACACATTGTACTTTTTTTTTTGTCAGGCTGAACTAGAGTCGCACTTGCAATCAGAATCACACACATGGCACTGCTCCGCATCTGACCCAACATGTGCTTTTTTTGACTTACGCTCAAGGGACGTAACTCACACAACCGCATACCACTAATAATAAAATATAGTCACACTAAACAAAATATGAACCCCGATAGTTCCGTCCTCGTAGGTAATATATCATAATAATTCTACCAACATTACACCTTTAGTCATTTGTTTACAATAAGTTCTCATAACCAGAGTTTCAAAAGTTTTCATTCTTGAACATGATATATACCGTATATGACCGTCTATAAGACGACCCCATGGATAAGACGACCCCCAAACTTGACCCTTAAAATCAGTGTCAAAATGGTATGTTTCGTGCATAAGTCGATCCCCTGCGATGGGGTCCTAATCGCGGCAAACACAGACCACAGACAACTGGCAGTTACCAATAATTATAACTTTGGTCCACATTGAGACAAAAACTGACCATGAATAAAGACATAGTCTTACCAATATTTGACAACGACATGATACTAGAGGGATGCTTTTTGTTTGGAGCTTCGTATTTTGTCAGCCATCCTCCGTATCCCCTCTTGATGTCCTGTGGATCATAGTACCAGTGAACAGGCATCGCAATGGCGTCAGCTACGAACATCCCCCACAACGCCTCCTCCTTCGCCCGCTTCAGCGCCATGGACAACTCTGGTTTAGACATCGCAGGTTTTCTGAATAATAGAACATACAGCACTAACGCAGTGCTAAATCAATTTTGCATACTGAGAAGACAAACTTGGTGTTAAAAATTCAGGAATATTGTTTAACACTCTGCTCCTTCCACTCTTGCGCTGATCTAAAACCAAAAGGATCCACAAATGACCATAAATTGACTATGTGTAACAAGAATGAGGACAATTTTTATGGATATACAACTTCTTTATACTGTATAGGCGACGTTACAACATAGATTCTGATGTGACATAATCCATGTCTAAACGTTGCCTATACAGAATAAACAAGTTGCAAATCTATAAAAAAAAATTATCCTCATTCTCCATCTCCTCAACCTCTAAAAAGCCAATCAAAGAAGTATGTGTAACAAGTAACATAGGGTATCACTTGGTCCTTCCATAGGTTGATCTTAAAGTTGATCTAGGAATCTAGTGCAGTCATATACTATGTTTCATTGCTGTTAGTCTCCTAAAATACGAAAAGCATACATTTGGAAAGGGTAATAAAAATTGGACATGTTACCATAAAATATAATCATTAATTTTAGTACATTTAACATAAAAAACCTCATCCTTGTTCCCTCTGTCTTCTCCTTTCAACAAACCCCTTCCACCTGGACAACCCTGTAATAAAAGACTGGTCCCTTACAGTCCAGTTGGGGAGAGGTTTTAAAAAACAAAGGCGGTGTAGGGGGTAAGGTGGTGTAGGTAGTCAGTGGTATCATATGATAAAGTCCTACAGTCATTTTTCCCAAGACAGGTCTTTGGGTGTTGAAATGTTTCATGCATATACATCCCATTATGTTTTGAGTAACATTAGACTAAGGCTTAGTCTCTGAATATATATAATTTTAATAGTAACAAACAAGCCCATTTATATTGAAAAGGAGCCCTAGGGAGACCAGAGATTCAGAACCTGAGGAAATCTAGACTTGCTTTATTTAGGGCTTTAGCACTGCAGAGAGGGCTTGGCAGTAGGGAAATTAATGTGGTTCAGGGACTAGAGTAACATGTACGCTTACAGGAGGCAGAGATGACACCCCTAACAAGTACTTCACAATGAATATCCTACTCGGCTTTGGACTGTGGTTGTGGATCAGCTGGTTGTGGATGCTGTTCCCGATGGGGATGTACAGACGAAGTGTGTAGAGCCCTGTATGATGGCGAGTCAACCTTGGGGAGTCTACTCAGCACTAGGAAGGCAACAACGGACGTCGCCCCCAAACACATACACTTTCGGTGATGGATAAGTCTCTGCAAGAAAAGTAGGAAAATGTTCAGATGTGAGAACAAGAAATACTTAGCATAAAAATGTAATATGCAGTACAACAATATTGTTTCTATATATTTCTGACAATGTGAGTTAGTAAGGGTTTAATTATATCATGGCAATATCATGGCTGGAGACACTAGAAATGGGTTGACTGTACCCGTGGGGAATTGAACTTGGACTCTCGCTGTGATGAGCGAATGCTTTAACCACTTGCTTACCCCACCTAGTCCACACCCTAATCATCCAGGAAAATACATCATAAAAAAAGATGACATTGGTAAGGAGTGGTATTTTCACTACAAGATGTGTGAGTCTGTCTGCACATATGATTCTGCAATGACACCCAAGTTCTCAGTAACAATAATTGGTATGATTGTAGAATTTGTTCACCACCTAATACATAGTATTGTAAAAAATAGTTATATATCAAGACAAATTCTTTAGCATTGCTTCAGAGATGGGGATCTCCTCAAAGCTTCCTCAATCCTTGGGGTGTGTTGTGTACAGATCAAGGTAGGTTAATCACAATCCTATGGATCTTGGATAAAAAACGTTTGCAAATATATTCTAGAGCGATATTCTAGAGCAGCTACCAGTAATTACATTATTTCATTATTTTTTAGGAAAGGTATTAGAGAGAATTTTCTGTGAAAAGCTCAAATGATTTAGAATACTTCTTACCTTTCCTAATGTCAAAATAGCACCGTCGACATCTTTTGTTGATACTCTGGAAATCAAGAATGCATTTGGCGAACTGAAATATAAATTATAAATAGATTTACCAAAACAAATGCTTTTAAAACTGAGAAAATATAAAACAAATTAGAATTATTAACAGTGCATCACCAAATCCTACACAGACAGTACTGTATACCTTCCCGTACCGTGATCGACTGCCGTGTGACTGGTGACAAATACCTGGTGTTATGATTTACTGAGGTTATACAACTGTCAAAACCTTCCTCATCACGAGGCTCAGACATGCGGGAGTACAAATGTGAAGGAATGTTTGGCTCCGAATGTTTATTACGGACAGACACCAACGTCCAACAAAGAACATTACTCTAACCCAGCTCACTAACCTATTTCTTGACCCTCGTTGAATAAAACTGCGAATCATATTTTATGTAAGTTTTACGTAACACCGTAAACAAACTGCACGTGGTGCTCTCCACGAAACGGAGGAGTGAAATTTATGGCATTACGGGAGCATTTATTATCGAAAAACAAAAACAGCATAAAAATTAAATATATCATCCTTGTTGTTCTCTATTTAGATTCTTTCTTAATATATTTGTGAGCAATATTTGTCTAAACGGAAGGAGTCAAATAAAACACAATTTCATGCGATTAAACCTTCTAAACCAACTGAGGCATATTTATACAAAATAATACGGGCACCAGTTGTTTGCGCATGCGCACATAAAACCTAGCGCAAGAAACAACAATAATTCCAAACGAAATTGTGGCTTGACATTGTATTTGAATCAATATTAGACTTGTTAATTAGTGAGATGGCAGGAAACTTCTGGCAGAGTTCTCACTAGTAAGTATTTGAAGACTTTTCGGAATCCATTTGTGTATCAACAATGTAAATTTACCAGCCTGTCAAATGACACCTAAACCGATGACGCGATATGGAGCTGAGAATCAGCCCAGCTTCATATTATTTCTATATTCTTGTCATGTTGACGTATGTAATAAGTATGTCGCCTTTAAGTCTGTCCATATTAACACGTGTTTATAACTAAACTGTAGTGTCCGGTAAACACGTTGCTCAGGTTGTATGAAACCTGTTAGCCGAGAGCCGCGATGCGGTCCTACACAGTCAAGACATGACCCTGCATGGGTCATGTCTTGACTGTATAGGACCGCATCGCGGCTCTCGGCTAGAAACCTGTCTGATTTGCTAACTAAGAGAGGTAATTCAAACAATGTTTTCGCGGATAATGTGTAAAAGCTAAAATGTGATTCACATAGAACATTACAAAATGCCTGAATAGTTTTGTCATTTTACAAACTGAAAGGCTGTGCATTTATCAAGTTTTGACTTATCCAATAAAACGTAAGAAGTCAAAAGTCTTTTAACCACAATAGACAGATTATGCTGTGATTGCAAGTCAAAGTATTAATTGGCTTTCGTTTTCTTTTAATCCTATTGTTCCCTATCTTTGGGCGACTAAAAAATTAACATCAAAACGTTTGGAAGTTTTTAACAAACTTGAATACTTTGAGTGATATTGCTGTCAATATGTAAAATGTGTGAAAACTGTAAACTGAAACTGTCTGACTATTACTAAATTTACACTCCCAAATCCATATGAAGTGTTCATCAATGCTTGTGTTAGATGCAATCTATTCTTGAGAAACCTAATTATTTGCCACCTAGCAATTACGATCATGCTTAAGGGATTTTATGGGACACTTTAATCATATTGCCAGGTTCTCATCCAAGTTGGTTTCACTGTGATTGAATGTTTGAGTACATGTTTGGTATTGCAGTCAACAGTGGCTGTTGGACAAGCAGGACTTGATGAGGGAGAGACAGCAGGATCTCAAAGTGGTCACTGAAGAAGAGTACCAGAAAATACTTATATTCTTCTCAAACTGTATGTATTGGTATCTTATTGCGGATACAGTATCATGTTTAGTCCAGAATAGGAGTGTTTGCCGACCTCATGCTCGCTGTAAGCACTGGCTGAAATGGGGATCATGTGTCAGTAGGCCCTGAAATCTGTCTCAGTAGTCTTTCTTGTGTTTGGTAAATAGTCATGGCATCCACAGATATAGTGTAAAGATTGTTCAGTAACCATCCTGTGTTTTAATTCATGGGTTTCAGATCACAGACATGCACAATATAAGGCAATCACAAATGATATTAGATATTCATTGTTATCCTCCTTGTATTTTTTTGTCTTGAAATACCGACAGACAAAGAAAACTATTTTTCATTTTTTTCTTACATTAGACAGTATATCTTGTTCTGCCAGAAATTCATGTTTCATATGAATGACATTGTTGACTCTGAACACTAGTGTTGGGAATTGGTTGAAATCTCACAATTGATGATTGGTTCAATACCAACGACCAATCATCGAAAAAAATTGGTTAGCGTCATTTTTTAGATTTTCCTATTCAGGTTGTAGTTGCAGATAAGTATAAAGAAAAAAAATCATTTGGTTCTCTGTTGGTTTTTTAGAAACTGCACAAATTACATTTGCCGATTTCACATCAAGTGTAAAATGATTCACTTCTAGTGTAACATTAACTTCCCAGATTCTTCAAGAAATATTCAGTCATGACTTTTCAGAAAGTGAAGTGAGTTTTCTTAGAAATAAACACATTTCAGGCCCTGACAACGTCCTAGATATGTTCCATCATCAAGTATTTCAAACTCTATTACAGCGGTTCCCAAATCGTTTGTGTTCGATTATGAGAAAATGTGATCGATTGCTTGGTCATTTGGCCACTGCGACCAATCTTCGATTATTTCAATTAATCAGACCACCACTAGTGAACACACATGAACATGCTGAACACTCTTGATAAATAAACACAACCACAAACTATAGTTGCTTCCTGACAAGCCATTTTGAAAAATCTATATGAAAAATTAAATGTTGTTGTCTAATGTGTGTATCTTGTCTTTCAGTCATGCAAGCACTTGGAGAACAGTCAAAACTGAGACAGCAGGTGATTGCAACAGCTACAATCTATTTCAAGAGATTCTATGCCAGGTTTGTAAAAATACATTTTGTACGTCACAAGGAGATCTTATCTATCATGACAACACATCTCTCAGTCTGCAATGTGTTAGGGGATGTAAGGGTGAGGTGAGGTGAAAGTGGGTTTAACGTCGTGCTTGAGAATATTTCGCTCATATGACGACGTGCATGCGCGTGTATGTGTATGTGCGACTGCTTGTACTAGCCCAGATTAAGCTGGTTGTATAGTGCTAGCCCACTGACATACCATGCCGCAGTGAAGCATGAATACCTCACTCAGACACATTATACTGACTCCGAGCCGGCCAGTCCTTGTTGTACCCATTAATGCAGAGCGCCAAGCAGGGACCAACAAGTACCATATTTTAACATCTTTTGGTATGACGCGGTCGGGATCGAACCCACGACCTTCCGCTCTCCGGGCGGACGCTCTAACCACTACACCACGGAGGCGGTCCTGGATGATTGGGTAGCCAAGTAGGTGAAGTGTAGTTTTTCACATATTCTGGTTCTGTTCCCTGCAGTCATACATTTAGTAAAGGTATCTGTTTAAAAGCGAAATATTGCTTCAAGTGTTAAGTAAGGGACTTTTGGCCTATGTTGCCTTTGCAGGTTGTAGATCATAAAGAAATAAACTGTAGGCTTAACTTAATGTGAATGAGTATGGTTCTACTTTGCTTTTGTCATGTTTAGCAATATTTTGCCAAAATTGTGACTTGGACACCAGAAAATGAATTTACACATTGTACCCATGTGTTGAATCAAACCAGGCATTCTGTGTGGTTAGCAAACACTTTAACCACAAGGCTAAAGGCAATGGAACAATGGTACATGCTAGCTGTCAGTATTTGGCAAAGTTTGGAGTTGAGTGTGTATATTCAGACATAATAGACCAATATAGAATAAAATAATACTTTAATGCCTTTTCAGGAATTTGTGTTACATCAGCAGAGCTACTGACACATTAGAGAGATACCAAACATATTTACATAAATTCTTTGATTTGGGTATCTTCACATTTGTTTAAGAGAGATATGGTACTTGGAATAAAGGATGTACGGGCTCTCTTAGTTTTCACAATTGGAACTTTGTAGTGGCGGCCTGAAGGGAGGAGGTTGTATTCCGAATTTAATATGGTCAAAGGTATCAAAATGCAAATAATATGTGAAGCTCTTATGCATGAGGCCATAGTATTAATGAAACATGCAGGAAATGAAGACCACTGCTATGTAGTTGAGACTGACTCAATGCTTTCATATTACTATAGTTAAAATCTCATGGCATGACAGATTAAGTATAACAATATGAAAGAAGCTGATAGCGGTTTACCTTTAATTAACAATACATGTATCTGAGAGAAAACTGCATTGTTGTCACGGCAATGGTATTTTATGTGTTGTAGGAACTCCCTGAAGTCTATTGACCCCTGGCTGATGGCTCCAACCTGTGTCTTCCTGGCTGCCAAAGTAGAGGTATGTAATCTAAACAGAGTAGAAGTTGAATTTGATGTACCAGGACAAACTGGTTCTTGAAAGGTTTACTTGTTCAAAGCTGTCAGGGATGGTTTAAAGGGAATCTGGTATTTTTTTGTGCAAACGCTGCTATATGGTGAAAATAATAACATTGTGATGTCAAATTTATATTGCTACACTCTTTATGGAAGCAGTTGGTTGGGAACAGATTCTCAATTAGCAATATTAGACGAGAGGATTGTGACCTGGATGCTGTCAATTTTGTCAGTGTTCATTGCAGTCAATCAATCAGAGTAGCCCTGGTAACTGTATATGTATTAGGGGGCGGTGGGGTAGCCTAGTGGTAAAAGCGTTGGCTCGTCACGCCGAAGACCCGGGTTCGAATCCCCACACGGGTACAATGTGTGAAGCCCATTTCTGGTGTCCCCACCGTGATGTTGCTGGAATATTGCTAAAAGCGGCATAAAACCAAACTCAGTCAGTCAGTATATGTATTATGCTTTCAGGAATCTGGTGTCATATCTAACAGCAGACTGATTAGTACATGTCAGAATATTGGTAAGTGTTTCTCCAAGTAAAATATGGATTGGTTTGAAAATGCATGTTCAAGTACTATTTGGCGAAATGGCCACGATTTGTTCTGGGTGTTTAGACATAAGTAATCAAACCCTACAATATCATTCTACAGGTTCGAATCTCATTCTGTTGGCTTGTTGATAGACTTGAGCACAAAACACATCTTTTCTGATTCTGATTATGTGTTTGCTTTTTGTGTTTACATGTGTGTTCGGCACCTGTTGACACATGCTTGTGTGTGTGTGTGCATGCGTGCGTGCATGCGTGCAGGGGGTAGGGTGAAATTGGATGTTCTATGCGTACATGTATCTATAATATGTCATATGGTGGCCTAGTTCTTGAAGCATTTACGAGTCATGCTGAAGGGCTTGGTTCAATTCCCCACATGAGCACAAAGTATGAAGGCCATTCCTTGTGTCCCCAGACCGCCTCCGTGGTGTAGTGGTAAGAGCGTCCGCCCGGAGAGCGGAAGGTTGCTGGTTTGATCCCCGGCCACGTCATACTAAAGGCTTTAAAATATGGTGCTTGTTGGTCCCTGCCTGGCGCTCGGCATTAATGGGTACATCAAGGACTGGTTGGCATGGAGTCAGTATAATGTGTCTGAGTGTGGTATTCATGCTTCACTGCGGCATGGTATCTCAGTGGGCTAGCACTATAAAACCAGCTTCAGTCTGGGCTAGTACAAGCAGCCGCACATACACATGCATGCACGTCGTCGTATGAGCGAAATATTCTCAAGCACGACGTTAAACCCAATTTCACCTCACCTCACCTCACCTCCTTGTGTCCCTACCGTGATATTGCTGGAATGGTGCTAAAAGTGTCGTAAAACCCCAATCACTCACTCCTTCTGTTACAGTGAAGAGTAAGTTCTCCTATGCATACAACCAGGAATACCCCTACAGGATACAGAATGTCCTGGAATGTGAGTTCTACCTGCTAGAAATGATGGTGAGTTGCTAACTATACTTTCTCAAGGGTTTGCTTCCACTGTCAGTTGTTGGTGTCTTTTGTTGTTTGATAGTCTGCTGCGTTGCATTGAACATGGACAATTACCAACGATATTAAACAAATTAAGTAAACTGGTGTTATTGTAGCCTGTATATTATCAACCGCCTCCGTGGTGTAGTGGTTAGAGCATCCGCCCGGAGAGCGGAAGGTCGCGGGTTCGATCCCCGACCGCGTCATACCAAAAGACGTTAAAATATGGCACTTGTTGGTCCCTGCCTGGGACTCGGCATTAATGGGTACAACAAGGACTGGTTGTCTCGGAGTCAGTATAATGTGTCTGAGTGGGGTATTCATGCTTCACTGCGGCATGGTATCTCATTGAGCTAGCACTATAAAACCAGCTTAAGTCTGGGCTTGTACAAGCAGCCGCACATACATACACACACACACGCATGCATGTCGTCATATGAGCGAAATATTCTCAAGCACGACGTTAAACCCAATTTCACCTCACCTCACCTATATATTATCAATACATATCATGACAATTGATGACTCCTGTTTTTGAGGGGCGGTGGGGTAGTGTAGTGGTTAAAGCGTTTGCTCATGCCAAAGACCCGGGTTCAATTCCCCTCGTGGATACAATGTGTGAAGCCCGTTTCTGGTGTCCCCCGTCGTGATATTGCTGGGATATTGCTAAAAGCGACGTAAAACCCAACTCACTCACTCCTTGTTTGAGTTTCCATATTAGATCATCATATTTACCTAGATTAAGATACAAACCTTTATAAGGATTTCAAAGGAATCACTTATTTTGGTTTGTTATAAATGTTATTCATTTTAACTAAAATATATCAGTGACCGAGAGCTCCCAAACTGTTTGTTATATCAGTCAGTTCTTTAAAAGCGTGTTCATTATGAATAATTGTTATGTATGTTAAATGAAAAAGAGTCAGGGAATGTGAAACAATAACCTACACACTGAACAATGTTGAACCCTACTGCCTTGGAGATTGACATATAGTTGAGTTGATTATTTCAGGATTGCTGTCTCATCTTGTACCACGCTTATCGTCCACTCACGCAGTACTGTGGTGACTTGGGATCTGAGAGCGACCTCCTGCCACTTGCATGGTGAGAAATGTGGGACAAGATGCTCAGAAAATATTGTAATGCACAGAACAAAGACATTGCTGTCTTATAGATGAAATATTGCTGAGTACAGAATTAAATGACAGAAAACAAACCAACAACACATACATGAACTTCATATTTTAATTGTTTTATTCTTAAGAATTGTCAACGTTCTCCATTCTATATTTTCCATGTTTTCATTCTTAGGAGAATTGTCATTCACTTAACAGTCTTATTACTGATGTACCCCTGATGTATTCCCTCCAAGGTCGCGAGTTCAATCCCGATCGCATCATACCAAAAGACGTTAAAATATGGTACTTGTTGGTCCCTGCCTATGTTTACCATGGGGTATTCATGCTCACTTAACATCCAGCTTCTCTGGGCTTTACATGTGACTGAGTGGATTCATGCTTCACCTCACCTGTGGTGTAGGGTGGTGTAGCACTGCAGATTTGTACCAGGGTCCTTTCCTTGATATAATTTACCCTTTCTGAAATTACAGAAATGTACCCTCACTGAAAGTAGAATGCAGAAATGTATCCAAGCTGAAATTAAACGCCAATACCCTTCACCTCTTGAAACTGCACTGAAAGAAGAATGCTGAAATGTATGAACATGAGATTACCCTTGCTGAAATTTGAATACAGAAATCTTTCTTTGAAACTGGACTACAGAACTACCCTAGCTGAAATTTGAACATAGAGATGTACCCTTGCTGAAATTTGAATACAGAAATGTACCCTTGTTGAAACTGGACTACAGAACGTACCCTAGCTGAAATTGAAACAGAGAGATGTACCCTTGCTGAAATTTGAATACAGAAATGTACCCTTGTTGAAACTGGACTACAGAGTGTGGCCTTGCTGAAATGTAAACATAGAGATGTACCCTTGAAATTTGAATACAGAAATGTACCCTTGTTGAAAATACACAACAGAGTGTGGCCTTGCTGAAATTTAAACATAGAGATGTACCCTTGCTGAAATTTGAATACAGAAATGTACCCTTGTTGAAACTAGACTACAGAGTGTGGCCTTGCTATGCAGTGCATGGAGCAGCAACATGGCAATTCCATCAAACAGTGCATGAAACAGCTTTCAGTTTCACTTGCAGTGCAGACCTTTGTTTGTTCTGAAATAGTTGTCAGCAAACAGCATTGACCCCCACATTTGTTGTGTGATCTATGCCGTTTCATTTATCAGGATTACAAGCAATGAACTTCTTATACTGTAAACGTACTTATTTTCGCGTGGTGCAATTTTCGCGGAATTGACAGTTTAGACTACATCGCGCGGTCAATTATTCGCGCAATCAGTAATTGCTGGAACTGCCAGCTGTCTCTTTGGCCGCCACTAATAGCAGTGAAAACAAACAGAGTGGCTTAACCTGTCAGGCGGTGTTTATTGCATACTCACAGGAAATCCCTATCTGTGCGATATACTAGTACACAGTAATCCGTTTACTCACGGAAGAGATGAAAAACACATCAGTCTTATGTTCCGAATTCTGACGATCTGACGAATTAACTTCTACTGTATATGAAGCTCTTTGTGATTTCAAACAAGCCGGGTTGTTGTGAATGAGATGATTGAGTGTTAAGTGACTATTCGCTTCATGATGTACTGGTAAATAAAATCTTAATGAATAAATAAAATACTGCTGTATTATTTCTTTCCGAGTCGTTTCATGGTAATCTGTTTTGTATCAAACCATCTGTCATGTGACCAATTTCCATGGCGGCCACAACACACATTGCTGTTTTCGCTAATTCGGCGATGGGATTTGGCTCATTATTTAATTATGTTTTGGGAAATACATTACAGCGACAGTTAAGTATGATTCTTTATGCTACTATCAGTCGTCATTTTAAGATTCCCCGTAGATTTCTGTCTTCAAACTTGATGTGTTATGGTAACAACTCAGGGGCGAGCGTGGCTAGACTGAATGAATGACAGGTTTATTCGCGGTGTATAAATTTTTCGCGAAAAGCGCGAAAATAAAACCTGCGCGAAATATAATACGTTTACAGTATATGGCAAAATAGAAATGTGTTGTGAAACTAAATGAGATTGCCTGTCCCTTAAAACCTATCCTAACATTCCATACCAGATATCTTTATCCCAATGTCCCAACCCCCTAATACATAGTGGAAATTGTAACTTTGTTTTTGTTTTTGTAGCCTGTTTGCACATGGCATGCGTCATCAAGCAGAAGGATATAAAACAGTGGTTCGCTGAGCTCTCTGTAGACATGGACAAGGTAGGACATTGCAGCAAATGAGTTGTGTGTTTTTTGCACGAATGGGATATGTTAATTAAACAAATTTTTAAACTTATCCTATCTCACGGTATGCACCTCTCTTCTTCTTCTACGACCATGTGTGGAAACGTGCTGTAGGCTAAGTTGAATCAAATCTTACGGGCCTCTGACCCGCCCTGACCTCTGACCCCACTCAGACATCAGCACCTATCAATCATCTCAGTAAACGTCCAGCTCGCTCAGATGATCATGTGACTACCTGTGCCTGTCATTCTTGTCTTGGAGCTTCCAGTAATCTGTGATGTGGGGGCGGGGCGGTAGGGTATCCATCGCATGAGATAGGATAAGTATATAAATATACAATTTATTATAAAATTTACAAATCTCACATTACAATTTACGTGATAGTGAAGGTTGTGACAGAAATTAGGAACGTTTGGTTACATTGTGTTATTTTTCTGATTGGGTGTTGTCAGCTGTACATACATTGTTGTTCATGCTATCAACCATTGGTTTATGATGTCCATATTAGATTGTGATGTATCTCAATCAATGGGTGCCATAAAACAGCATTCACTCTCTTTGTCACCTCGTGACTTAGTTGATGGTGCAGGGTACGAAATACCCCATATATTAGCGTGCCATGGCACGGTAAATATCGAAATGGCACGGATAAAAAATGTTCTTGGTGCCCTTAATTTTTTAGAGACATAACACACCTTTAGTCATTTAATCACCAAACAAAACACTTATGCAAATGACAAACAAGCAAAACATTTATTGACTTTTTCGTCCAGGAAATCACTGGAATTATGATGGTTGATGTAAAGAAATCTGGTTGCTTTTTCATTTAGAGTGTTGGGAGTACTGATAGTTTGGTTATTAAAGAGGAAATTGTGTATGTTAGATACATTGAAAAAAGTGAACCTGTCCCACAATTCTTAGCTATTAAAAGTGTTGAGAACGCAGAACAAATGAAGCTTAAGAAAGCCATCTTAAACAGAAGACATATCAGTGATAACAGAAAACTGGTTACATTTGTTGTTTTCTGACAATACATTTCAAAAGATCATCATCCTTGCTACAGTCATTGATTCCAACAACATCTGTGCACACCTGATTTCTGAAAGGCACACCTAAAATATTTACCTGGTGCCCTATGGCACACTTAGAAAAAAAAGTATTTCTATCCCTGTGGTATGTTGTTGTTCGATAGCATTGGTCATCACCACATAGATCTGGTCTAGATGTGATTATTTACACGCCACCATCATGAAGCTGTAAAACTACTGCATGCTGTTTTTCTCATCAGAACGGTGTTAGAATTTATCTTCAGTAACCCATGCTTGTCGTAAGAGGCGACTAACGGGATAGGGTGGTAGGGCTCGCTGACTGGGTTGAACATGTCATTGTATCCCAATTGCGTAGATCGATGCTCATGCTGTTGATCACTGGATTGTCTGGTTCAGACTCGATTGTATACAGACCGCCGCAATATAGCTGGAATATGCTTGATGCAGCGTAAAATTTCACTCACTCACTCACTCACTCACTCACTCACTCACTCACTCACTCACTCACTCACTCACTCACTCACTCACTCACTCACTCACTCACTCACTCACTCATCAGAATAAGTAAACCATACACATAGTGCAGTTGACCTTGATGATGGAAAACACTAAGCCTATAAAATCCAAGTCTCTAAACAATGCCAGGGCCTAGATTTTCGAAGCTCTCTTAGCCCTAAGATAGTCATAGGTTAATGTTAATGTTTGGCACTTACTACTATCTTCCCGCTAAGAGAGCTTCGAAAATCTAGGCCCAGGTCATTTGCTTTGTCCCAAGATAGGATCCGAAGCTGTATTAGATGCTGCGTCTCCTTTCTTGAGGACATTTATAAAGTTCCCTTTTTTTAACAAAATAATGTTTTTCCAATTTGCATTCTGAGGGCACTTATTTTTTTATCATATATAAATCCCTACCACTGTATGACATTCCTAACAGGATACTACTTTGTGACACAGGTTTTGTGAAGTAGTTTTCTCTTGACGGATGTTTTGGTGTTATGTTGCAGATTCTGGAGGTGACCCGTCAGATTCTAGCATTATATGAAATGTGGAAGAAGTATGATGAAAAGAAGGAAATTCCAGCAGTTCTGGCCAAAATGCCAAAACCAAAGTTAAACCCTTCAAGGTAACATTAACTGTCTCAAAGAGGAAATCCTCACTGCTTAGAAATTATGTTTAAAGCTAAGTGTAATCTCGCATTTTTAATGAAATTTCAATAACTCTGTCAACTTTATCATTTGTGTGTTAAATTTTAAGTTAGAAATCATTTGTGCCAGACTTAGTTGCTCGTGTTCTCTTTCTTTTCTTTTTTTTTTTGTTGCATGTAACCATGGTTACGGTTTAGTGTAAACAGATTCTCTTTACTTTGTATAGTCAGTGTGAAATATTTTTAAATTTTTTTGTAAACTCTATTAATTTGTTTGCTTTCTCAAGTCAGTGTGTAGAGTTTCCAGTCTGTGTTAGATTCTGTTCAGGATTCTCAGGTAGAGATGTTGGGATGGTTAGAAAAAGAGTTGGGATGTTGAGAAAGGGATACCAGAATGGGGATGTTAGTTAGCTTTCAAGGTGAGTCTATTGTCCAGGCTCGGTTGTTCATGGGCAGTCATCAAATACAGAGTTCACATTTAGGCCGGAAATTTGGACATGTTACCCTAAAAAGGCCCTAAATTCATTTTTGCCTTGAAAAGGTCCTTATTGCTAGTCATTTGCCCTAACAAGGCCCATATTTAGCAAATTTTCTCAAGTTTGCTTAATTCCTCGATATTTTGTAATATCCTTAAAATTTCCTTAAAATTGTTAATAGGGCCTTAAAAAGCCCCTTTAATGGCCTTAAATTTGATGACTGATAATCTGTACAAACCCTAAAATAGCTGTAACGTTGCTAATTAGGGCATTAAACAATAAAGCTTGTTCAGGAGGCAGCTATGTGCTCTGCTTATTTCACTAACACCATTGTGCATTTGTGTGGTCCCCTTTAGAATAATAATACTTGTTGTTCATATATACTTCGTTCCTCCATTGCCTGTAAATACAGCCAGTCACTATTGAGTATTTAATGTAATGAAATGGTGTGTCTTTTCAGTAAGATATCTGATTTATGACTCACAGTAGTTAAACTGGACTTTAGGGGCGGTGGGGTTGCTTAGTGGGTAAAGCGTTGGCTCGTCAGTCCGAAAACCGGGTTCGATTCCCCACTTGGGTACCCCCGCACCGTGATGTTGCTGGAATATTGCTAAACTAAACGAAAACTGAAAATGATGGTGATTGAGTGGACTTTAAAAATGCTGTCTGACATAGGTTGTATGTGAAATACTCTGCTCACTGTATTGTTCTATTCCTGATTTCCTTTTAATGTAACCAGGCCTAAATTACGCTACACCACAAAATGGCTGTATTCCCATGGGTAATTACGGACCATTCATAATTTATGGCTAGGGTGGGGGTGATGATGATTTTTATGGAGAAGCATGTACAATGTGAATGACTCCCCCCTCCCCCCCCTAAAATTTATGTACAAAATAAGTGACACACACCCACCCACCCTGCATGTCATGTACAAAATCAATGACCCCCATGCCCTTCCCATGATTTCTAAGCATAATTTTAAACATAGCTTTTTGTACAAAATTGCTGACACACACACACCCAGTATGTGTGTACAAAATTGATGACCCCCTAGCTCCCCAGAACAAAATGGGTGACCCCCCTTAAAATCATCATCATCATCATCATCATCATCATCATCATCATCATCTACACCACCACTCCCAGCCATAAACTATAGATTATGATCAGTCCCTTAGGAACTTCGTCTGTACAAACCTACACAATTACACTTTCTTTTATAATAGTTAACCAAGATTAGTTTTTTTTCTCCAAGATTCAGACTTTGTGCTTTTTTTTTTAAGATCTTTGCAAGCCATCTATGGATTCTCAGTCTCAGCAGTTCTTATTCAAGTTAGGTGTCCCTAACAGTTTGTTTTACTGACAATGGGACTCAAGATAGGTCCAAAATACTCCATGTTTGATACCTCCCTCGTAGGAAAGCTTGAGGGACGCCAACAGTAGGTCATAATGGCTGTAATCCCTGGAGATGGGGGGTCCCGGTCTTTCTATTATGGACAACATGTCTGCCTGGCCAATACTAGGAGACCACCAGTTGTAATGCTGACTGTGGCTAAATAATACCAATAAATTTAACATTTACTCAGCTATTGGACAGAAACAGTGCTGGGATATTTCCAAGTGCAGCATTAAACAACAAGCAAGTGAAAATGAAAATCTGTTGTTTTTAGCAAAATCTTCCACCTGCTTCTCAATCAATGTGATAACATTGCAAGCACAGTATCCATGAAACATTTCACTAAAATGGTGTATCGGTAGGCTGTAGTCTCACCACTGTCACATGAGTGTTGTTAGGGAGGTGTAGTGTTACTATGGTAACATGATTGTTCTGAGGGAGGTGTAGTGTAACCATGGTCACATGAGTGTTCTCGGAGAAATGTAGTGTTACCAGGGTCACATGAATGTTCTCAGGTAGGAATAGTGTTACCATGGTGACATAAGTTTTCTGAGGGAGGTGTAGTGTAAAACCATGGTAACATGATTGATCTGAGGTAGGTGTAATGTAACCATGGTCGCATGAGTGTTGTTAGGGAGGTGTAGTGTTATCAGGGTCACGTGAATGTCCTCAGGTAGGAATAGTGTTACCATGGTGACATGAGTTTTCTGAGGGAGGTGTAGTGTAACCATGGTAACATGATTGTTCTGAGGGAGGTGTAGTGTTACCAGGGTCACATGAATGTCCTCAGGTAGGAATAGTGTTACCATGGTGACATGAGTTTTCTGAGGGAGGTGTAGTGTTATCTAGATAATGGCAATACCCAGGGAATCCTTGAATGTTGTTTCAGTGTCCTGCAAGCTTCTGCCTCCTAGAGTAGGCGGTTGTCGCTAGACAGGAGCTTAGCGTAGCCTGGCTTCTCTCTGCCTGTCTATCTGTCTGGCTGTCAGTGATGCATGCCACACCTATCTCTCTCTTTGCTACAGTAGCAGCTGACTGGTCGTATTTTCACTTGGCAGACCTCCCTCTGAGGCCTCGGGGGCACAGGAAGGGGCAGGGGCACAGGCAACACAGGTGGGGCAAAACACACAGCAACAGCACCAGCAGGTTCAGTGATGGAGACAGAACAAGATTAAGTTTGAAATCATTCAGTGATGGCTGTTAGATCATCGAGCAGCTGTTAAGTAGCAGATGGATAGACTTTTGCAACAGGACCTATGGTGGAGAAAGAGGCACGATGACTACTCAAGCCTGTGTCTGTGGAATCCTGGTTAACAAGGCCTATTTGACTGTGATCAGGCAGAGGAACTTAGGCTAACAAGTCTGAAAGTGTATTTGCCCACAGAGACTGATTGTGAGTTTCACTTCAAGGGGCAGATGAGATGGAACACAGTGTGATAACCTGAAGAATGACTTCCAGGAATTCCTCCAATCATGTGGTGGAGGTTCCAAAAGAATGGCTTCACGAATTCCTCCGATCATGTGACAGAGGTTCCAAATAGATGGCTTCAGGTATTCCTCCAATGCTGTGGCAGAGGCTCCCGAAGAATGGCTTCAGGAATTCCTCTGATCATGTGGCAGAGGCTTCTAAAGAATGGCTTTTCAGAGGCCCCTTTTTCTGCAGGTGTCCAAGAGAACAGTATGTAATGTAAGAATGCTCTACACAGGGTGGTCACACTTGCTGACTTGGTTGATACATGTCATCATGACCCAATTGTGTTGACCCATGCTTGTGATATCAATCACTGGATTGTCTGATCCAGACCTGATTATTTGCAGATTGCTGTCTTGTAGCTGGAATATTGCTGATTTCAGAAATGTTCATCACCAGTCATAATGACCTGATATAAAAAGATCTGTTTGTTATCAATCACTGACAGATGAAAGCTGGATTGCGTGTAAAAAAATATTTTTATTGATTGTGTCCGTAAATATATACATGTCTTGAGAGATTTGTACATACATTTACAATACAAATTATTGCTGATGTGTGCAAGAGAAACACATGCAAGTGAACCTGAAGTGATCTTTGTTTTTTATTCATGATACTGACTCCTTGAATGAGAGATGGGGCGTTGGGGTAGCCTAGTGGTTAAAGCGTTGGCTCGTCACGCCGAAGACCCGGGTTCGAATCCCCACATGGGTACAATGTGTGAAGCCCATTTCTGGTGTCCCCCGCCGTGATGTTGCTGGAATATTGCTAAAAGTGGCGTAAAACCAAACTCGGTCAGTCAGTCAGTTGAACAAGAGATTGTTTGTTGATAATTTCACAGAACACATGAATTCTTATATGCATGTCAGACTCAGTATTTTGTCTGTCCCCAAAATACGACATTGGAATTTCTCTAGTTATTGTTATTGTGGGATACAAAAATATTAACTTACCGATATCCATATGTGTTGTCTTTTAGACATAGGCAGCAATAACAATCAGCTGTACTCATGTGCATATCTACCAGTAACTGTCAAAAATACCCAATAATATTACTTCTAAGATCGGACAGTGTATGTAATTGTGTATAGAAGGGATGGTGTGTAGACCTGTGTATAGAGGGCATAGTCGATGTGTGTGTGTGTGTGCGCACGCGCGCTCGCTCGCTCGCTCAGGTGTGTGTGCGTGCACCGATAGTGGGATCGAAGCTGTTCCAGTCAAGATTTTAATCACCAGGCCTATTTACACAGCAGCTTGTGTTTGGTACTAATCTGCTCCGTCAGCCAGATATTTTAGGATTTATGAGCATTGTGAAAACAAAGGTAAAATATAACAATATTGTAAGAAATAGGAAACGGAATTAAACAAATACCAAATTCTGTTACATTTTGAACAAAAATGTTTGCATTAAAGGCCATAAACAGATGGCTGCCTTAGCAGTATAGATTCCAAGCTCTTGAACCAAATATAATGGCAGTGGTGGAAATGAACGTGAAATGTCAGTTTGATCGATCATGTGATTTCAGAATGTTTGTGTGAGGATACATCGTTTAAAGGAGAATACTAACGAACACAAAACTTTTCTAAGGGATAAGACATTCTAAAAGTCACCTTCCGTAATTAATTTTGAACAAAAGTTTGCAAAATCGCAATAAATACACAAAAAACGTACTCGTATTTCCGTCTATAACGGTAACACCCGACAGTTACTGAGCCGAGGAGGTATCACGTGACATGACGTCATATGTGCGTCTTGCTGATGGGCTCTTTGATTATACCTCACAACTTAAGTGTGTCCGTGGATTCTGAAGAAATAAAAGATACTCCTGGAGTATGGATGTTAGAGCGTATCAGTACGATCCGATTTTACATCTTGCAAGACAAACTTCCAGTGAAGAAGAAGAATCAATCGAAACGGAGGCACCGCTTGATGTCAAAATCATTTTAAAAAATACACCATATAATTTATCAGGAATTTTATTTGTTAGCAAAATGGGATACAGTTCCGACCCACACCCACACCCAAATAAATAAATGACCAGTCCCTAAGAAAATATTTTTTGAAAAGTAATTCATGTTCCTTTTGTGTCAAATTGATGACTGTAGGGAGTCTGTGATTTAAAAAAGGATTATTATTTAGACAGGAGAAAATAGAAATTGTCTGCTACAAAAATTACACTGTTGCAAGAAATTATTTTGTTGAAAAAAAACTTGGGATCCTAGTTCTCATTAATAATGTATCAAGTCTCCATACAAGATCCCAGCCTGGTCGAGCAAAAATATTATAAGCGACGCAGATAAGTTATTCCTGAAAACTGGTGAATTATAAAATGGTCGGCAGGACAATGTATATTTCCCTAGTTTTTGCTTATGGAACTAGTTATGGTACTCGGTCATAGTGGTAGAATGACATCTTGTCAGCCAATGAGAATACAGAACAACTTTCTCGGCACACACTACTGACCAATAGCAAGTCTGATGCCTACGTGCGTAATTGGACTAAATGGAAACAATGAATGTAACAAGTACTTCATGATTTGCCGTTGTATTCGGCAAGTTTTCGGGTAGACTGCAGCATTTAGGGCTCCAAACCGGAACGAACGTTATAGCGAAACATTTTCAAGCTCGTGAAATATTTTACTGATTTTGATAATACATATTTCATCACAATTGGATTGGATTTAATCTATGTCAAAAATACAACTGATAGTACCGTGTTCTAACATGGAATGATGTAGTATAAATGAATCTCGCGGGTACTCCTTCCTTCTCCTGCCAAGCTCCTCAAACACCTCCCTGATTCAAGTTGGAAACACTACTCAATATATTTGATGACATTTGGACAACCGGCAACTTTCCTCCTTCGTGGCACAATGCCATTATCACCCCTATACCAAAACCTGGCCGGGATCATACTGATCCCTCAAACTACCGTCCTATATCACTAACTAGCTGTGTTTGTAAAACCATGGAGCGCATGGTCAACAATCGATTAATCTGGTACTTGGAGACCAATAACCTCCTTAGTGACCTCCAATGTGGTTTCCGAAAGAACCGAAGTACCATTGATCATCTGGTGTGTCTGGAATCTTTTGTAAAAAAATCCATTGTCAACAAACAGCATACAGTATCTATCTTTATCGATTTAGAAAAAGCATACGACACAACGTGGAAACATGGTATCTTAAAAGATTTACATGAATTTGGATTGAGGGGCAGATTACCTCAGTTCATATCTCAGTTTTTAAGCAACAGACAATTTCAAGTACGGGTAGGTTCCACATTGTCTGATTATTTCCATCAAGATCAGGGCGTCCCTCAAGGCAGCATCCTGCCTGTCACCCTTTTTAGAATCAAAATTAACAGCCTCACTAACGTCTTGAACAGTTGTGTTGATGTTCGACCTTCACCTGACATTCTTACCACACATAAAATATTTGAAAACCAAGTGCTTGAAGGCTCTGGGCTTACTAAAAGTCGTTTCAAATACCGAGTGGGGAGGGGATCAGACTACCCTCCTTCACTTGTACAGATCTTTGGTTCGGTCTAAACTAGACTACGGCTCCATTGTCTATGGTGGAGCCTGCAAAAGCAGTTTAGATAAATTAGACTCTATCCACCACCAGGGTCTGAGGCTCTGCCTGGGAGTTTTTATGACCTCTCCGGTAGACAGTCTATATGCAGAGGCTAACGAACCTTCCCTTGAACAACGCCGCATTAAACTTACACTGCAGTATATCACTAAATTACGTTCAAATCAGTCCAATCCAGCATACAATTGTGTTTTCAACCCTCTCTATGAAAACCTGTTTCCCAAACTGCCAAGCCTGGTTCCTCCGCTTGGAATCAGAATTCAACCACACATATCTGCAGCTAAAATTAATCTCAATATCATAGCAGGCAATTTGTTAGTCACATTACACAGCTACAATTTATGATACAGATCAACCTCCCTCCCATAGATGGTGAAACCACAGGTCGACCTTACCCTCACTAAACTCAAAAAGTCCGAAACATATCCTTTGGTGTTCCAGCATGAATACAACCAGTTACGTTCCAAGTATGACACCCATAGATCCATTTTCACAGACGGATCGAAGGATGAGGGCCAAGTTGCCAGTGCTACAGTCATTGGATCCAAGACCGTCCCCTCTAGGATTCCCGCCAACAGTTCCATTTTCACTGCCGAGGCCAAAGCTATTTTCTCAGCCTTGACCTACATTAAACAACAGAATCATTCCAAAAACTTCATCGTTTTCACAGATTCATTATCTTGCCTTCAAGCACTTCAAAATGCTACTTCAAGTCACCCAATCATTCTGGACATTTTAGAACTTTACAACGACCTTTCTACTGGCCAATGTGACATCGTCCTCTGGTGGTTGCCGGGTCACGTCGGCATAGCAGGTAACACAAAAGCCGATGCTGCAGCTAAAGCAGCTCTTGACAAGCCCTTATCTCCACTGCTGATCCCGTACAGTGATTTCAAACCCACTATCAAAAGCTACACTCGGGTCCTCATGCAAAAGAGGTGGGACACTCAAGTGGGAAGAAATGAACTGAAGCCACGAGGTTTTCACAATCAAGCATATTCTGCTTGACTGTGCAAGGGTCTCACACTATGATGCAACAAATCTGAAAGATCTGTTTTCCCGCGTGAGCGCTCATCTGATAGTGAACTACCTGAGGGAGGTTGATCTGTATCATAAATTGTAGCTGTGTAATGTGACTAACAAATTGCCTGCCTTTAAATTTAGTGCTATGCCTTTTTTCTGTCTTTAAATGACAATGTCATAAATATATGTTTTTGAAATAAAACTCATTTTGACTCTGTACTTACAATGTTTATTAATGCAGACTTGTTCTCGTCACTATATGGCTGGAATAATGCCGATGTGACGTAAAGCCCAACTCAACTCAACTCCTGCCAAGCTATTGGATTTTCATATGCCCCCGACTCGGAATCATCTGTCTTTTTATTTGGAAAACAGAAGAAAAAAATGGTGGCTCCTTCCATTGTTC